TATACTATATATTATATACAGGGTCAACTACCAATTGGGTCATCTGCTGTATATTATTGGCATTGGTCTGGTAGCGGCTTTATTATTGTTGGGCATAGATATTCTTACATCCATGATCCATGAGGTAATTATGTATATTGATGATCTAAATCTAAATATTTATTTGGGTTTATCTCAGCACAGGGGTGGCCCCAGTTCATTGCCATTCATAAAAAACTGAAATGAATGTATCTAGAACTAACCCTTTAGATGCCTTTAGTTTCCAAACAATTGGAGCACATCCATTTCACTGGTTTCGGTCGAGGGATCTTTTTTGGGGAAACCATGGTCAGCACTATCAATCTCAAAGTGTTTCCTGCAAATTTCTTTCAACTGGATTGGACCTTTGGCCTGTAAGAAAGAAAGCAATCCACTCAAAGATGCAAATCAAATATGCAGCCGAACTGGATGATCCATAACCAAAATAACCAACTAGTGAGTGCGCCACAACATGCTGTAACTCATTGATATATCTTATTCCCTTGTAATTGGAATATGTTCCGTTATCACCCACTTGCTGATCGTTTATTAGATTCAGCCATCATCCCCAAGTACAATTTGGATAGTCTATACGGTACGACAAATGTGGTTGTTCCAGTGCCCAACTCAGGTTGTTCCATGCCACCACGAAAAATATTCGGAAAAGTCATTGAGGATGGTGATCCCATTTCTACGGTTAGTGGTTTTCAACCAATCATCCATCCCAGTCGTGTGGAGCAAGACGATCTCAAAATGCCCAACAGCTCTATAACACGAATTTCGTTTGGCATGACCAGTTCACGGTGCCTGATATATTACCCAGCTTTACCCAACTGGGGATCCGTTCAGTTTCACATTGACAGTGCTTCAAATACATTGGACAAAGGGTGAACAAGACTCTTCATTCCAATTGGTCGGATTTTCATGTTTGGCAAGTTTTTGACTTACATACGCTAAGTTTTATATTCCAACCCCCGTATTTTCCATGGGCGAAACTGCAAAACCACCATTATGGAGCACCACACAATGGCTCAAAATCTCAAGCGCCGTTCTGAACGTTGAAACATTATCTAACTGATTTTTTCACCCCTGCGAATTTTTCCTGTTCAAATCACGATATTTTTGAACCAGTTAACTGTGGTTTATGGTAAACATATCTAAAGTTTATCGAGGTCATGAACCGGGTAGGTTAATGGGATTTGATTTAATGATGTAATGGGAATTTACACTCGGGATCCCTCAGTAATAACTGACATCGCTACGGAAAATCACCATGTTTGATAGGATATTTGATAGGTCTTTGACTTGCTCTCTACGTGCGGTGGGGCCCCTGAAAGATAACTAAGTTAGTTTGTAAGTAGGCGATTTTCATGATTTATGGTAAATATAACGCACTAGTTAGTGGGGCCCACCTTGCAAAGCATTTATATCTGCATATATTTGCCATACGAAAGCCGATTAAGGCCAGCCGATTAAGGGCCCAGATTCTCCCACCAATGACCAAAAAAACGGAAATACAAATACTACAAATACTCCAAATACTACAACAACAATCGTATTTGTTAGTCTAACAGTCTAACACGTTACATCCTTTTCAGCCAAAACACGCATGGACATGGTGGGCTGAAACGACCTATTTCCCATATTGGTTGGTTCTTTCTCCTCGTCTTTTATAGGGAAAGAACAATGGGACATGGTTTCAAAAGGTTTCAAAGGCCAATGTTCATCATGTTTAAAATCTTGGTTCCCCAATGTCTTTAAGCGGTTTAGCCATACTGAAGCCATGGTAGATGAGCCTCCCTTGTCAAAGCGCACTTTTACATGGACATGGTGAGCTTAAACTTCCCAAAAAACATCTGTTTCTTCCCATTCTTCCCAAGGTTTAACCCAAAGAACACATGGACATGGTAAAAACATGTCAAAACCCATGAAACTCCCTATCTCTAATCTTAATATTTCTGAATTATCCCACTTTTCAGACAAAGACACATATGAACACGTCAATCATCTAAGAATCTAATCCCTACCAGACCCAATGAATAATCTAATCCTCATAATCCTCATATATATTCAAAAAAAAATATATATTCATAGATCTTGGCCAGAAACACATTAACATGTGCATCCTCAATCTCCACCAGCTCCGGAATCTCCTGCCAATTTCGTATCTCGCGGATCCAGCGGATGCGCTCCGCGATACGGATGGGCACCTCTACGTGCAAGAACTTGGCAATGCGTTGCGGGTCCAACATGTCCAGGACCTCTTGCATGGTCAGTGGCCTCCCGGGAAATGTGGAAATGAGTGGAAAATCCAAACCACACGGTCAAAACGTGGGTGATTTAAGCATCAACCATGATATCTTAATGGGATTCAGTGGCCGAAAACAGATTTGAACCATATGGAATATTCCTAATTCCTACAACTATTATCCATGGGAATATGGCAGGAAGTATGGCCTTCCCAACAATGGACCTCTGATGAGCCCGGAAAAAAACGTGGTTGTAGGTGGTTCAGAGGCCCACACCTTTGGGTTTGTTCGAATCCCCATGACAGTAAGACGGGAGACGCTACGCTAAACATTTGATACAAAAATGGAGCTTTGTAAGGAGCCAGTGGGTGATTTTTCAATCACGAAGTGATCTTCAACATGTTAGATTGCTGGAGGGAACCAAACAAATAACGGGATAGAAGGCAATATGCTATACCATCTGGCTATTTGACAAAGCTACAGAAGCCATAGCACCTTAAGTTCGATGATTTATGATGATTTGCCGGTTTTAATCATGGCAAGCGTGTCCAGTTCGCAAACAGTTCGTCAATTTGTCATGAAACTAGAGGGTAACATCAAATCCATCAAAATCTATCAAAATCCCATCAATTTCCAATTTCTATCCACATTATCCATCAATTTCAATGGGTTTTCTGTGGGAAAAATGTCCCATGATTCTTTCCCGTTGCGCCGCGGTCCGCGGAAACCGCCTGGGGGTCATCGGGGCAAAGGAATCGAGCTCCTGCTGGATGAACTCCTCAACGTCGCTCTCAGCAACTTGAGGCACTATCCTGACGCCCGCAAAATCGATGGAGTTTGAATGCGGTGTTAATCTGATCGCCAGCAAAATCTCTCTGGAAAATAGATATGTGTTAAATAGAAATGTTTATATATTTATATAAGGACATTGATCTCTCTTTAATGGAGGTGTTAATGGATTTGATGGGACTCTCTCTCTCTCTCTCCATCGTATTCTCGAAAAGGGCGAGTGAAAACACAACCGCTCCGCCAGGGTAGGGAGTTTCAGCAGCCACGGGTATCAACAAGCTGCTTCATTTCTGCCACCTATCTGCCCTGTAGGTGGGCCATCTCAATAACAATATTTGTTCCACATGGGTGAAGCCAGGAGATGATTCAAACAGCAGGACTGGCGTATGCGATGGGACTCTTGAAAGCGGGGTTTCATGGGATTTAACCATCAACAAATAGGGACTGTTCCATCTGTTCCTGGGATTTCACGGTGATTTTTTCTATGATATAATCACCAATGATGGAGGTTGAATGGTAGTTTTTTTTCCCCACCTGCCAGGTGAGGGTTGTTAGATTTTATGTCAGTTGCCTCCTCGTCCTCCTCCTCCTCCTGCTCCTCCTGCTCCTCCTCCTCTTCCTCCGCCTCCTCCTGCCTCGTCCTCCTCCTCCTCGTCCTCCTTGTCATCCTTGTCGTCCTTGCTCAACTGCGACCCGCGCTCCACAGTGTTCCCTGCCGGACCTCAACCACGACCATCCACGCCCAGTGTTCCCTGCCGGACCTCAACCACGACCATCCGCGCCCAGTGTTCCCTGCCGGACCTCAACCGCGACCATCCGCGCCCAGTGTTCCCTGCCGGACCTCAACCGCGACCATCCGCGCCCAGGGTTCCCTGCCGGACCTCATGTAGGAAGATATGGGACAAAGAATGTGCAGAAGAAAGTTAGAAAGAATGTCAGAAGATATGCCAGAAGATATGCCAGATAGAATGCCAGATAATATGCCAGAAGATATGCCAGATAGATATGTCAGAAGATATGCCAGAAGATATGCCAGAAGATATGCCAGAAGATATGTCAGAATATATGCCAGAAGATATGTCAGATAGAATGCCAGAAGATATGTCAGAATATATGCCGGAAGATATGCCAGATAGAATGCCAGAAGATATGTCAGATAGAGTGCCAGAAGATATGCCAGATAGAATGCCAGAAGATTTGCCAGATAGAATGCCAGAAGATATGACAGAAGATATGCCAGATAGAATGCCAAATAGAATGTCAGAAGATATGTCAGATAGAATGCCAGAAGATTTGCCAGTAAGAAAATGTATAAATGTCATGGTGGGGATCACACGAAGTAAAGTTTTTTTTTTTTATATGGTATTGTTCAAGTTTTTCATAGGAATAGTAATGGGATTACTTGAGAGGATTTCTGGATAATTACCATCCAGAAATCAAATATGGCGGAACATCTACAGGAAACCATGGTTTTGACCTCCAACTCTAGGGGTTTCCGTTTGCAATTTTCAATGTTCATCTAATCTGGGGATACACAATTGGTTACACTTACATGAACAAATATGGATATATAGTTGGGAAATCCCCGAACTAAATGGATGTTTACAGCTGGGAACACAATGGAACTAAACGCGTGATTTTCCAGCTAGCCGCCACGTTTGAGTACTGGAAGGCAATCACACTCACACTTTACTCCAACATATGGACATTTTTAAGCATATATATATATATATATATATACCCTAGGGGGCGGGGGTTCCCCGAGGGGGG